ATTTATACAGGTTTGTTTAGTGTTTGTTTTCGTGACGTGTAACTTTGGCATTAACTGGAGTATTATTGCGTTCAAATCTGTATTGCAGAATACAGATTAGTTAGATTAGAAGAGCATGTTGTAAAACAGTTACCATTCCTCTCAAGGTTTGTTACCTTTCATAACATCAAGGCTCAACAATGTCTCAGTTGAGATGACGGCTAACATTGGTAGTTAGGTTCAAATTTTGACAGAGATGAGCATTCTTGTAGTTTTCTTCGTGGGTTAGATGAATATGAGTCGGTTTATTTCAGATATTTCTCCATAAAGGTATCCATACGACTAAGCAGATAACCTTAGTGCGCCTTGCCTCAATCAGTCTCTCCAATCCAATAAAATTGATTTCAGTCATAACAGCAACTTAAAACCGCTTTCACAATAAGTGTAGTTTTCATGGCTAAACATCCTTATTGAAATTTAGTTACTTATGTGTAAGTTTCACTTATAAAGTCCTCCACGGCATCCCTACCCTTAAGCAGACAGCCTTAATGTGCTTTGCCTAAATCAAACTATCCAAATCAATTTAATTTCGCTCCTTTATGATAGCGACATAAAAACACTTTCACAACAAGTACCATTTTAGTACTTTTCCCATGTGCAAGGTAAATATGAATCAATTTCCTTTAGAAAGTCCTTCACGAAAGTATCTCTATACTTAAGCAGATAATCTAGTGTGTTCTTTCTCAGTTATATCCAATCCAATTGAATTCAATCATGACAACAAAGTAAAACCACTTTCACAATAAGTATCGTTTTCATGATTTTTTCTATAAGTAAGGTGAGGAGTCAATTTCCTTTAAAAAGCCTTCCAAGAAAGCATCACTATACATAAGCATATACCCTAGTGTAATTTGCTTTCCGTTTCGCCATAATATCGACATAATAAGACTTGAAAGCCGTTTAAGTTCCTCCCCCCCCCCGCACACATGTAAACCGAATATGAGTCAGTTTTTCTTAGAAAGTCTTTTACAAAGTTCTCTTAAGCAGATGACCGTGGTGTGCTGTGCTTCAAGCAAACAATTTAGTCCAATCTATTCATTTCATTCAGAATACAAACAAAAAAGTATTGTTACGGATTTCGTATTTAAATAGCTAATGTTAGTTGAATTATAAATTAAATTGTTTTATTCTCCGTGCAGTGCAGCGCGTGGCGAATATTGAAGGAAAGCTAAGCCGGAAAGCTAAAAATACAACAGTACGTGCATTTTAACATTTAATAAAATATATATCTTTTTTTGAGTTCGAGAAAGCTCCAGAAAGTTCTCGCGCGCGATTTAAAAATCTTGTAAAAAAGAGGAAAAACCTCTCAATTCCATTATTTTAGTTAGTTTGTTTAGAAAACTGCTGTTGTTGACTGTAGCGAATTCGCGGATTAGCTTTCTCTGGCTGTTTTGAATTAAGTTCTCTTGAACGTTTGAGTAGTTATTCGTGCAGTATTACAATATCTCACAGTAGTTAAAAATAACTACTGTGAGATATTGTAATACTGCACGAATATTTTAGGAAATTTAAGCATATTTGTTGTGATAATAATAAATTTTTGTTCATGTTTCATCGGACTTGTGCATTCATTTCGTAACGAACCCGTAAGCACGCAACAATTTTTGGTGTCAGGAGAGGGGTTTGAATGCCAATTACTGGAGCGATGGAAGAACAATTGAGGCAGCTCATCATTGCTTTTGCTGCATTCCAAGAAAGGATGGAAGCTGGCCAAACATCATTTAAAGAAGGGATGAAAGACTCTGTTAAAGAAGAGATTAAATACATTAAAGAGGAGATGATCTAGTCAGGAAAAGATTGAAGCAGAACAACAAAAGATTGAAGCAGGACAACAAAAGATTGAAACAGGTCAAGAAGAGATGAAAAGAGAAATTACCTGCATAATAGAAAATAAATTTGAAGCTATGGAAGGCAGAATTGATACAGTTGAAAATAAAGTTGGACAAATTGAAGAAAAGGTTTCTTCCGTAAAAGATCAAATTGAAGAAAGAGTTTCTTCGGTGAAAGAAGAAATAGAAGGAAGAGTTTCTTCTGTAAAAGAACATATAGAAGAGAGAGTTTCTGCTGTGGAGGAACGAATTGAAGTAAGAGTTTGTGCCGTCCAACACCAAATCGAACAACAAATTGATGATAGGGTTCCTGCAGTAGCCAAAGAAGTGGATATTTTAAAGAAATTCGTAGCGACGGCAGGGAACAATAGTGATGGTTTTAAATTTTTACCCATGCCTGCTCGTTCCTCTCTGAAGTTATCTACATATGATGCGAAGACCTCTTGGCAGTGTATAAAACACACTTTTCTATAGTGGCGGAAGCGAATGGATGGGATTCCCAAGCTAAGGCTTGTCATCTCGCCGCTTCTTTGAGAGCAGACGCAGCGGATATCCTTCAGACTCTTCCCGAAAACAAAAGGTTAGATTTCGAAGCTCTGTCTGGCGCGTTAGAGCTGCGCTTTGGGGAGAAGTGTTTAAAAGACTACAGCAGGCTTCAGTTAAAATCCCGCCAACAGAAAACCACGGAAACACTCCAGGAACTCGCCACAGATGTTGAAAGGCTATCTATCTCACCTTTTTGGAGTGCCCGACAGAAACAAAGGAAATCCTGTCCCTGCAATATTTCATCGACGGCATCCGGGATCCTGAAGTACAGAAAGCTCTACGAATGGCGGATGTTAAAGATCTTAAAAGCGCTCTATCGTACCTCATGAAATTCGAGGCAGCCCAGCAAGCCACTCGTTGAGACCGCCACCCAGTCAGAGCTGTGCGAGTCCACGAGTCAGTGGATCAATTGATGGCTCGTTTAGATGATTTATCCAGACGAGTCGACGCTTTGATACAGAGTAGCAGTGAGAACAAAGTGGCTGTAAAGTGTTGGAGATGTGGTTCTGAAGGTTACCTACGACGGAATTGCAGAACACCCTGGGGTACGGAAAATAAAACAGATGATTTTGCGAGACAAGTCTTGAAAACGGAACTCTTGAAGTCTTGCTTGAAACGGAACAGAAGTGAAAAGAAACCAGTTGTAATGTGCTGGAACTGTGGTGTTGAAGGCCATGTGCGAAGGAACTGCAGAACAAAGCACGGAAAATATGACAAACGAGTAACTGAAGAACACCCCGGAGCACAGAAATTGATATCATTTCCCAGCAGCGGCGGAGGAAACAAATGAATGACCATATCGAGGAACAGAGGTTGCCAGAAAATGAAAAACCTTGTTTTAAAGCATTCAAGATTTCTACAGTGAATGGCAACAGTAACGGACTGTCCACCAATGGACATATCGATGGAGTTCTTTGCAATATGATCAATGACACAAGATCTAATTTTACTATCATTCGGAGAGATTTAGCTCAACAATTTAAAGATAAACTGATTTGGACGCCATCCTGTGTTACCCTCCAGACTGCGTCTGCCGAAGAAATCTCCATCCATAGCTGGGAAGTTAAACGTGAGCATCACGTTTGGAAGTGCCGTCTACCATCATATTGCTTATGTGGCGGATATCACAGATCTATGCATACTTGGATTGGACTTTTTAAGGAAATACAATTTTTCCTTAGACTTCAAAAACAACAAGCTGTTCTCAGCATCTGAGGACATGACTATCCATACTCAAAAGGGTTCATCGCCAGAAAACGCCGACGTCCCATGTAAAAGACCCTACTCTGAAAGCTGCCGAAATCATACTAGGGTTGGAGAGAAACATCAGACTACCGGTTATTCTCCATCCCAAATGCTCTTCGGTCGAGACCTTCGTCTGCCTTGTGACAGTTGTTTGTTCGCCATACGGATGCGCCTTCATCGCCTGAGGAATACATCCAAGATGTCCAGGTCCGTTTTGAAGTGATGCACCGTTCCTCACGAAAGCGAGTGAACTTGGCAACGGAGAAAATGAAGACCAATTCGGCAAAAGAGCTATTGGACATCAATTTCCAGGAAGGAGAGAAGGTGTGGCTGTGGAACCCGATTCGACGAAAAAGACTCAGGCCTAAATTACAGTCACCTTGGGATGGTCCGTACACAATCCTAAACAGACTGAATGACGTCGTGGTTCGGATCCGTAAGTCTTCGAACTCTGAACCTAAAGTCGTTCATTACGACAGGTTAGCTCATTACTATGGCTATAGTACGTAATGTAAATAATTGTAAATAGTGTAAGACCATGGTCCTTTTCGTTTCTAAATGTGTAGTGTTTGATTTCTATTTTGTATTTGATTTCTATTTAGTATTTGATATCATTTGATTTGTATTTAGTATTTGATTGCATTTATTGTTCATATTTTTCTGTTATTGTAATGTAATGCTTATTATTGCATTTATGTCCTTAGTTGTAAGTTTGGCTTCCTGTCCAGGGATTGTACTGCCCGGGACGTGCAGTCCTTGGGAAGGGGGCAATGTTACGGATTTCTTATTTAAATAGCTAATGTTAGTTGAATTATAAATTAAATTGTTTTATTCCCCGTGCAGTGCAGCGCGTGACGAATATTGAAGGAAAGCTAAGCCGAAAAGCTAAAAATACAACAGCACGTGCATTTTAACATTTAATAAATATATATCTTTTTTTGAGTTCGAGAAAGTTCCAGAAAGTTCTCGCGCGCGATTTAAAATCTTATAAAAAGGAGGAAAACCTCTCAATTCCATTATTTTAGTTAGTTTGTTGTTGTTTTAAGAGTTTGTTTAGAAAACTGCTGTTGTTGACTGTAGCGAATTCGCGGATTAGCTTTCTCTGGCTGTTTTGAATTAAGTTCTCTTGAACGTTTGAGTAGTTAAAAGATAACTACTGTGAGATATTGTAATACTGCACGAAAATTTTAGGCAATTTAAGCATATTTGTTGTGATAATAATAATCTTTTGTTCATTTTTCATCGGACTTGTGCATTCATTTCGTAACGAACCGGTACGCACGCAACAGTATTTTCACGAGTATCATTAATTGAGGTAATTTAAGAAACTTAATATTTCAGGGTTATTTAACACCAACCGTGGAAGTACATGGTGACAGAGATGTTACTTGCACAGAATCTCCTGGTGATCGCCTGTATGCCATCATCAAACAATGGAAAAACTTCAAAGGAGGAAGGATGCTCTATTATAACTGTAGAATTTCAACTGTTGATCCACGAGCTTGAGAGTTCAAACTTGCATTCAACATCTCTTCTAGTTACAAGAAAGATGAATTTTTAAATGCATCAGAAAGATTCTTTTTTCTTTTTATTTGCCAAAAGTTAAGTCTGTTCAGATTTTGAAAATATAAGCATTTCATGAAATAAAAATTAGTCTATATTTTCCTGTAATTTTAAGGTAAAAAATACGTATTTCATTTATAAGCAGTTAGCTGAAGAAACATGAGAAAATTAAGTAACACTAAAACCAGCCAGATTAGATTGGGAGAATTCTAATGTTATTTATTTTCAATTTTTCAAACCTTAAAGTTTTATGTAATAACAACTTCCCGCTATTTATAAATTTTATAGCAGTTTTGATATTGATCTGGCTCAGAATAAATATAACACTGGAAAGCAAAAGAAGAATTTCTCATACTTTAAGTAAATGAATATTTTGATCTTGCGTTACGAAAGGTCAAACATTAATAATACAGAATTCAAAATTAGGCTAAAAAATAACCTTTAGCTTGTAAGATTCTCACTAGTGTAATTCTCAGTTACTGTAAAAAGTGACGAATCTTAAGAACTAGTTAGCGAATAATCGCTTAAGTTCGTGTGTCAAGAAACAACAAGATGGAAGGGTAACTGACCCTTTATTATTCCAATAAGATTTAACAAAACTCTGACTTGGAGTGTACAATCAAAGCCGACACTAGGACTTGAATTTAAGAGACTAAAAATTAGACTAAAACTAAGATTAACTAAAGAAATATAGCCGAAGCTATCAAGATTCTAGACTAGTTGGCCCCTTAACTTTATTTGACTACGAAGCTTATCAAGGGCCTGAGTACGGCCGAGCGTAATAACAGCTTTGAGAGAGAGAGAGCCAAAAGGCAGACGCGCGTAAATCAGAAACTCTGATTCTCTCTCACCAAGACCAAAGAACTTCGCGGTTAAATACCGCTCTTCCTCATTATGTATTCAGACATGATTCTAAACTACGTTCTGGCCGAAAGTAGTAAGTTGAAGTTAAGAATTTGACAAGAAAGGAACTTAAAATTTAACTGTTAATAAAATTAACATAATCCTTACAAGTTTATTTTGAATTTTAATTTATTAATTGAATCAAAATTTAGCATATTATGAATAAAGCTCTGTCCATTTTGAAAAAGGGCAGTCAGACACAGGTCTTTGTTTTCGTTCCTAAAGAAGAGGGAGCTGTGTATTATACCAATAGAGTTATACCACTAAATTCAATAGAGTTTTCTTTAGAATCTACTCAAAACTAGGGCTGCTTTTTTGCTTAGTTTCAGATGTTATACTGGCGTCTTTCTCTTCCAGTTTAATACAGCATTCATTATAAAAAGTAAGGAATATGCACCCTGAATTTTTTTTGAGGTTAACTAATTACTGTTAAATGAACAAATAAACAAAACTGTATTAATTTTATATTGAAAGCTTAATACAATACAAATGATGCTTAATTCTGATTCTATCTTAATTCTGATCTTTTAAAAACAATGTTTTCCCTATACTTAAAAACAATATTTTTCCTATTGTAACAATGTAAAATAGGAAACATTGTTTCCTATTTTATCTAAACAACGGAACATTGTTTATCTAAACAACAAAAGGAAAAACTTTGTTTAAACTTATAAACAATGCTTTTCCTTTTATTAGTATCTGAAAACAGGTTATTATTTTGAGTATTCGAAGAATTCGTTTCTGCAGAAAATTGCATATTTTAAAAACAATGCACTTTTGATTTTCCAGTTGTATAATGTATTTTATTTATCTTCTAACAGGCCTGACATCATTTGACTTTACTTAATTAAGAGTTTTATCAAGATTCGTAGCCATTTTTTTATATAGAAATTAGGATTATTATAGATCAGCAATGAAAACAATTAAGGATCTCTCAGCAAATAAAAATAGAATAAAGTAGAGCCATATTCGCTTCAGCCCCTTTCACTCTTGTAATATCATTCTAAGAATGAAACAAAGTTATGTACGATGCATTATTATGAAATATAATCTGATAATGACTTAACTGTAAAACAAGTTTGATAATAAAACCAAAACCGTAAAAATTCTCAAACTAAATTAGGGATATAATTTCGTGAACCATTTATAATATTTTACACTTACATTAACAGAAACGCATATTTTAAAGAAGGTTTGCATGGTCACAATTTGAAAAAGTTCTCATATCTTTAAACATATTCATTAAAAAGTACTATTAGAATCCCAACGTGTGTAAATTTTTCACTTTAAATTAATAGATAACTACACAAATAAGATATTAAATTCGTTTCTTAAAGATATCAGAACGTTTACATGTACGTATTAAAAGATACAAAATATCCAGTACACAGTAAAATAATCATGTGTTGTATAAATATGAAGATTTTCGGTTATTTTAGCATCTTGTGTCCATTTTCTTTTCTTTACCTATTTTCTAACTTCATTTCCTTTGATAAACAAATTTCAGTATTCCTATTGGTATCTGCGTCATCTGCTATTTCATATAGCATTTAGTTATTATTTAATCCGTTTGAAGAAAAGTTTGTTTTTGCTTTTACTACAGTTTTTTCTTCAATAATTTTCCTTATTATCATTAAATAAATTAATGCTTTTTATTATAAATACATAGAATTTCACAATACTTGGAAAGCGCAGAAGAAATTGCTAATCACATATTTTAGCGATTTCAATGCTACAAATCTGATGTATTCACCACATAGCTTCCTTGTGCGGAATATTAAATTATGCGCATTTTTTCATTTAAACGTATTTCCTCGAAATTCATTAGAGATATATTTCTCATTCAACTAATTCAATTCTCACTTCTCAGCAAGGCAAAAATACGCAAAAACTCAAAATATTTTCATTAAAAATTAAAAGATGTAGAAAAACATAAATCATCAAATACAGTTAAAACAATTAAAGAAACAATTTTTACAATTAAAATTAGAGATTCTGCGCAAAAACAAGCAATTCGACCAGCAGCAAGAAGGCAGATTTTTCGGTGTTTTCTTTTTGGTCCCACTTGGCAAAAAAGGCACTGAAGGTGCGGAAAGACTTCTTAATTCACTATTCTGCTAAGTTCCAAATGTAAAACAAATACGGCTGTTATGGTTTATAAAAAAAAGTTAGGCTTAGCCGCACTTAAACAACTTTTAAATTGTTGATAATTCTATAGTTATTGCATGCAGATCAACTAAACGCATAAAAACCTTAATCGGCAGATAAGAATAACATAATTCAATCATTATTAAGGCAAAAAATGCACAGTTTACCACGCTTTCAACAAGATGTCTGCTCTTGTTTTCTCGATGCAATTGTTCGATCACTTATTAAAGTGAAATCAGTTCGTGAATGAATAGCGATCTTGTTGAAAACGTGACATTTCAACAAGAGCTTTCCATGAACTGTAAAAGAGCTACAACTAATTTGACATTGAAGAATCGGTCTTTTTGCAAAACTGAGTTTTATAAGCGGTGAAGATGAGTTTAATAAATGGCGGTTTTTCTATTGATTAGTGTATATTCGTTCTGGTTCGCTGGAAATTTGAACGTAATATGCGGCTCAATTTATTAACCAGTGAGTTTAATAAGAGTCCGCCACTATTTATGTAACTGTCGTAATTACTCAATGCATAATATACTATTTACATCGCGAAAGGTATTTTAAAAGCCTCTTTCTTCTAACGGGAAGGGGGAGAAGATTGGCATTCTTGAAATCTTTTGAAAGGGGCTGTGGTACGAGTGGTGTTGCGTCACCAGATTTCCTTGTCTGATTGTTTAACATCCAATGAAAAATAGTCCTTGATGATTTGATTATATCAGCACAATGTAGATGTAGAAAATTTTAAAAATCAAATTAATATGGGAATTAATATGAATTATCAATAATATGAGTTATCAAGTTAATCAAATTAATATGAGTTAATATGGGAAGGTTAAAAAAGAGGGTGGAATTTTATAAGAATTTATAGACTGAAGCTTTCCAAATGGTCTAGAGTTTGCCTATTACGGTGCATTGTGCAATCCCGCCGTACGCCCCGTATCCAGTATTTATTACAAAAATAATGATGTAGGATAGTAGTAGATTACAAAATAGTCTGAATACAATTTGAAATTCACAATAGCGAGGGTAGTAATCACCATCCAAATCTACGAGTTTCTACCAACGTCTTAGTAGTTTTTCAAAGCCTTCGACATAGAAACTTTGTGGCCCAGAGTCCAAAAACAGATCAACTTCATTTCGGAAGTCCTGTCCAGAATGGAAAGTAGCACCAGTACGATGTAGTTACATTTGTGATAAAAAGATTAAAGTTCGAAGGAGCAATGTCGGGCTATATGGAGGGTGTGGCAAAATATCCGCTTAGAGTCCGTACAGAGTCCAGCCGATGAATGCAGACACATGCGGTCTTGCATTATCTTGATGGAACATTACCTTTTTGGTCCGGAACTCTTCGACGTTTTTCCTTGATAACAGCGTCAATACGGACTGACATCTCGCTGTATAACTTACTGTTGAGGGTTTTACCCTTTTTCCAGATACTTCTTGTGGATAATACCACGGCAGTCCCATTAGATACAAAGCATGATCTTTTTGTTAGTCAAATTGCGCTTTGCGATGCTACCGACGGGGTCACCGGATGCAGACTAAACCTTTCTCGAACTTTGAAGTAAATCCACTTTTCATCACAAGTGAAGATCCGGTCAAGAATTTTGTCCTTGCATTGATATTCAAGCAGAAAAGAGCAGGCCGGAACACGTCTGTCCTTATTTGCTTGAGTCAGTTCATGCGGCACCCAGCGATTGAACTTAAGTTTTATGTGATGCATAGCATTAACCTCTAACTCCTTAACAAGCTCTTGAGTAGTTGCATACTGATCTTCTTCCACAAATTTTCGCAGGCGATCCTCATCAACATCTGTAGGTCGGCCAAAGCGCTCTGCTACTTAAATGTCATAGTAGTTTTTGAACTTTCGGTACCAAATCTTCACAGTGTCGTATGATACAACATTAGTACCTAAAGCTATACACATGATTTGGTGACATTCTGTAGCTGAACTTTTGCAACAGAATTGTAAGTAAATGATGGTTCTAATCTGGTAGTGTGATAG